TAAGACTCGGCTGACGTCAGCTGACGCCTCACGCCTCGATCGACGCGACTGCACTCAGTCAATCGAACTGGAACATCGACCGAGACGCATTAACGCCTACTCAGGCGCGGTTCTTCACGCCATGCCAGCGCCCATGTCAGACGCTATCAGCCTGCGTCCTGTAGGTGGGCACATCAAACAGCAGAAGGCTTCCCTATAAATACCCTCTCGTTCATCAGAGAAGGGAGGGAGAGACAAAACATACAAAAACATTTCTTCATCTGAAACCCCCTCCACATCTGCTAACTTGATCGTCGGAGGGGCCGGGCCGAGTGCCTCGGCCCGACCTTTGTGCAGGTGCGAAGCCGAAGGTCCCCTTCGGACGCGCAGGCGAGGAGTTCCTGCCCGGAGGAGACGGTTACACCGTCTCGATCGGACACCGCTCCCGATCGCCTCAGCGGGCTCGAGGAACGCCCCAGGGAGGTCCCCGTCGTCCGGACCCGAACCGAGCCGCGTCGATCCCGAGGCCACGACTCAAAGTTGTTTCCCACAACATATATAATTAAGATTTTTTAAAGATAAATGACGATTGTAAGATTCAATTAAAAACTTTATATTCTTTATTTTTTTGATTCATTATAAAAAATAAATATATAATTAAAAGTATTATGGAAAATAATCATTGATGTTCTAATCGATCCAACGGGTTGAATGCTAAATTCCTAAAATGTTAGGATTTCTGATCCGTTCAAAGTCCAAATAAATAACCTGAGATGAATATGGATATGAGATTAAAAAATAATTCACAGGTTATTTTTATAAAATATTTTATTTTATAAAATATTCTATAAATAGGTACCTTCTAACCGCTTAACTGACTATATTCGCCGGACTTTGAGTCGTAATGGTAATTGCCACGTAATCTTATTATAAGTAACATTAGGGACTCGAGCGGAAGAAACGTGTCCGAGGCCACAGGGGAGCCGTGAGCATTATAAATTGAGAGAGGGAGAGAAGGCGCCAAGATTGTTGTTACCGCTTACCCCGTTTTCCGTTACGCTCTTCGTGCGCTCGTTTTGTCGCTAGGAAGACGACGGGAACAGAGAATCTCGGGAACGTAAGATCGCCATGGCGACGACGAGCGTGTGCCCGGCGCCGATGACGGCTACGTCGAACGGGTCGTGGGATGGGGATAACCCGCTGCACCACTCGCTGCCGCTCATCATCCTCCAGATCTGCCTCGTCCTTGTCGTCACCCGCTCCCTCGCATTCCTCCTCCGGCCGCTTCGCCAGCCCCGCGTCATCGCCGAGATCATCGTAAGCCCCGTCGATCCCCCACTCCTCTCTTTCTCGTTTAACATGCAGATTTGATTTGTCTTTACTCGTTCTACTCCTCCCGTCCTCCCCTACTCCCCCGGTTGCGGTGCTGGGTTTCCTGATTCCAAACCCTAAATCCAGTATCGGAGTAGATTCCGTGGGGAACGAACCTCCAGTCCACGAGCATGTGGGGTTGGGAATGGGATTTTGAACTGGAAACAGGGGTGGGGCATTTCGTAG